AACTACATCTCAATTCTTATTTATTTGGTGGCTTATTTACACGATTTAAAAAAATGTATGCAACTTACCTTAAATCCGAGGCAAAAACTTCAATTTCTGATAAATTATTTTACAAAAACATTTTTTGGACAACAAACAAATATTTTTTATTTCTCTTAATTACAATATTTGTTACAACTGCTAAATAATTTAACGTCTAGTAACAATAATGAACAATAACATAAATTGAAATGAAAAAGTGTACAAAATAATGAATAGTATTTTATAAAATATATAGTATTTATTAAAATGATATCCGTAGTATGATGATTTAATATAAAATAAAAGCAAATAATAATAATAATAAAATAAATAAATAAAATAAATAAAATTTCTGAAAAATACAAATAATACTAGAACAACAAACAAATATGATTTACCAATTTAGTGTTAATTTATTAAGAGACATTTTTGAAATATTTATGCAAATAGAGCTTTTATTTTTTACCTAAATGTATTATCATTTTTTATTATTAGTATTTGTTAATCATTATTATTATTTACAGCACCTTGATTTTTCTTAACTTAAGACTTTTAAGAATGTCTTAAAATTAAAGTAATTTCTTCACGCTTTCACAAGGGTTTTTATATTAGTTATATTTTATAAACTATTGAATTAGAAATTTAAACTTTTTTCTGAAGGACCAACTGAACCTTTACCCTGGCAAAGGTGTAAAGAATTAAAAATAGTAAATAAAAAAGTAAATTAAGTTAAAATAAGTAATTTTGCGAAAAATTTAATAAATAATAATTATTCCAACTTTGCTGATGAATATTTATGACAGAATACCAGATCCAGGTTATATACAGTGTTATTTCTGTACAAAATGTACCCATGAAACTTATATTTTGCATTAGTTGAATAATGCAGCTAGGATTTTGTAAAATTGTTTGCACCCTTACAGTCCAATTTTACACGTGACAAATTTAAAAAAAAAAACATGAAAAAACACGTTTCTACAATAATGAATAATTATAATGATTATAATGATTAACAAATACGAATAATTCAATTTATGTATTTATGTATTTTATGAAATTTGAAGTAGGATAGGGCAAGTCGCAAAGATCCAATTTGAATTTGAGTAATTATATTGTGAAAACCAAACCAATTATATCACAAAAAATAACACATATCAAACACACAACTGTCTGACTATGTTCAGTAAAACTCCCAGCTAATTCATTATTGTAGAAACGTGTTTTCTTGCTGTTTTTCAAAAATTTGTACGTGGTCCTTTTTACCCCAAAAAAAGTAAAATTAGATATCCAGGGGGCCCAATGCCTTATTTTTAATTTTAAAGAGATTTTACCAAATCATATCTGCATTATTCAACTAATGCGAAATATAAACTTCAAGGGTACATTTTTTGCAAAGATAACACTGTATACAACCTTGATCTGGTATTTTGTCAAATATTTATAAGCATAATTAGAATAACAATTTATTTAATTTATATTTGATAAAATTGTTTTTGTTAACTTAATTTACTTTTTTATTTACTATTTTTCATTGCTTATACACCTTTGCCAGGGTAAAGGTGCAGTTGGTCCTTTTTACCCCACCAACGTGTAAGCTTTTATAAAGGTTATATACAAAAAACTGCTGAATTTAACTTAAAATTAACAATACATGTTATAAAACAATTAAAAAACGTGCATTTAAAATTTATATGAAGGTTGCGTAAACTAAACAATAGTGACCATAAACAAAAGAACTAACAACGAAAGAAATTACTTTCGTTATAGATTTTCAAATATTGACGTTTATCTCCCGATACTGACGTCGTGAAAATTTAGGTAGTAACTTGGTTTTCCCTCTACTTTCAAATATTGTTGTTAAAAAAATTCTTGACTTTACTTGTTTTTGAGATATCGGTGGTGGACCTTTAAGTGCGGTTCTACTCTATATTAGTTGATGTGATTTCATAAAGCTAAATGTTACATAATAAACCAAAAGTAATTTTGTCTAAACAAGTTGTTTTTTCTGAAAGTTGATTTTTCGTTTTTTATTTTAGGATCATATTAAAATATTTATAATTGATTCATCTGTTTGTTCAGATCAGTGGTTAGTGCTATGGGATATCAATCAAAAGTTTCAGCATTCATTGTATATAACGATCAAAATATAATAATCTGAGTACCTTTATAAACGATGTTTAAACAAAACAAACGTATTAATTTTGTCTAAATAAGTAGTTTTTATTGAAAATTAATTTTGCAGTTTTTTATTTTAGAATCATATTAAAATATTTTTACATAATTGGTTCATTTATTCGTCAAAATTCCTTAAAAATTCCTTCCGATCCTGCCCTGCTCTTCCATCGTCTGTGACAGACGTGGTCAATACTCCGGAGCGCGGTTTAGGCGAAAATGCCTAAACCGACAACTTTTTGCCTTGAACTAAAAATACTTCGGAATTTCCTCTTTGCGCGAAATCCCGATGAACTTTTCAACCGAAAAATATAAATTGGATAAAAAATATAAACTGATCAATCTTAGGGAAAATAATTTATTTTGTAGTTTAAAATTCCAATTCCTTGGTTAGTATAAAATTTTATTTCCGAATTATTACAATTTATTTAGAAACTATGATAGAAGGATAATACTCCGGTAGTAGAGGTTTGAAATGGTAAAGCTCCCGCGCGTTTTTCCTTTTCGATAGAGGCACATTATAGACAGATAGCCGACAATATATTTTCCCAAATATTATTTTGACTGGAAAAGTACATCATTCTCTACAAGATCTTATGAATATTATATCTTTATGCAAAAATTCGGTTTTTAAAAACACTGTTAATCCTACTTGTCAACTGTTCCCATTATTTGACCAGATTATTCGAGTAAAAAATAGAGCTATTTTGATGATTTTATCATGGAAAATATTTTACACTTTGAAGAAGAAAGAGGTTTTTTTTTAAAACATAATTTCTTTACCGATCCATTCCCTTAATGTTGTTGATCATTTCATTGATTTTTTATCATCGAAAATGATTTACTTGTGACAAATAAAGGTCTTTTTCGCAGATCATTTTTTTCCAGGCATTCATTCAATATTGGTAAGATTTGGAATTTAAGAACTACTTACTGTTTTTATCATTTAAAAGAGGGTCTATCTAGCGACAAAATGCTTTATACGGTTATTGATTGAATTTTATTTTGTTAAAATTGAATGCTTAGTTCTCTCAAAAACTGCAATTTTTTGCACATTTAGCGCGGTATCTCTACAACCGCTGGACTGGCACTTGTCAAAAACTAATCACCACTTTTCCCCATCATTAAAAATTGAATGTTTTTTGAATCATTCAAATAGGATGTTCCGTGCTCTCGAAAATTCGATTTCTATTCTCTTCACTCTTTACTCCGTATCTCCGAAACGGCTGGACTTACCTTTCGCAAAAACTAATCAGCACTGAAATTCACATGGAAATGAAAAATACAAAATAGTATTATTTTGGGTCATTTTATACCTAGAAAGTCATAAAATTGTCTGTAAGAAAAATCTGTAAAAATTTTGTTTTTGTAAAAAAACACAATAAAATGTCTGTACGTGTACGTAAAAAAGTTGAAACATTTTTTTTTTCCAAAATCAATTAATTTGTTAATATAAGCAGAAAGTTCTTTGAATCATTTAAATCGGACGCTTAGTTCTCTCAAAAACTGCCATTTAGCTCCGTATTTTTGAAATGGCTAGGCCTGCCTTTGCCAAAAACTAATTAGCTCATCTCCTTATCAATAGGAATCGAATGTTTTTTGAATCATTCAAATCGGTTGATCCGTGCGCCCAAAAACGTGACTGGTAATTTGAATCCATACATACATACACACACACACATTTTTTCTGAGGCATGCCAAAATGTTCAGAAACCTTCAAAACGTCGAGAAATGTAAAAATTTTCAATTTCGATTTTCGGCCCATTACAATAACTTACCCTACGGGAAGTTAAAAATCGGCTTAAATTTATTTTTCATGAGTTAATTACAAGAAAACGGTCGGTAGATTTTTACCTAAAAGTAATCAGTATCATTTGAAACTAATATCTATCGAACAGTTTTTGATTTTTTAAAATCGGTTCGGTAATTTGAGGTTAAATGGGGACGAAAAGTTTAACACTTTTTCTTTCAAATTACAAAGAAACGGCTCGGCCGATCGTAGCGCAAAACTGACAAACGATAGTCCTTATCGAGATACATCGAATGGCTTTTATATGTCTGAAATCGGCCCAGCCGTTTTTGAGAAAACGTCGATTTACCGCAAAAAATATGTTTTTACACACACACATACCTTTTACAAATTTGATCTCATTCGATTCAGAATGGTTTGAAACGTCGAGGAAACATAAAATTAGCGAATCGGATTTGTTGATGAAAACATAAACTTCTCCTTCGGGAAGTTATTCAATCGATCTGCATAGAAATGATTTCATCGAGAGCGAATGGCGAACAGTTCGGGCATAACGCAACTTCCGTTGCATTTTTACAGATTTACCCCCTAAAGAAATCTCACTTGATAAATAAAGTCCTTTCAACAATACATCTTCGTTAAAAAAGTATAACTACACTTCGGCTTATTTCGGTAATTCAAAATTATCAACTTACCCTTCGATCTTTTTACCCTTGGCTCTCGTACTACCCTCGTTTCTATGAATGTTGGCACCCCTTGCTGTCATTACACATATAGAGTGGAAGAAAGTAAATGGAGGTGGAAGCATTCTATGTACTATATTGATATAATATATATAATATACATACACGAGTAATTCTAGTATTGTACATTTTATATATAGGTGTACGAACGTAAACAAACAAACAAACATGGCAATAAAACATATTCATATATATAGTGACTGTTAAATATAAGTGATGGTAATGGTAATGGATACACGGATGCGCACCACCAAAGAGTAAATGATTTATGCTATACATTTTATTTCATTTATCACCATGTATCTTTTTCCCATATGATGGACAAATTCTTCGAGAAATGTCGCCTCTGCATGGGCTGCGATAACGTCGATATTTTCATGTTCAGCAATAACACCTTGCTAGAAATCATCAAATCCTTACTAGAAGTCCAAGTCAACCTCAACGACAACCTGCCGAAGAAAATCTGTATGCAATGCTTCAGAAACATTGATCTTTTATCAAAATTTAGGAATATCGTCAGAGAAACCGATACCAAGTACAAAATCCTACTAGCAGCCACTGAGAGTAATATCATAGTAAGTAATATTGTATCTAATAACTACATATCCTCACCGTGTACTTCTACAAGTGAATCCATGCAGTCGACAACTGATTTAACCATGCAGAACGCTAACATGTATATAAACACTGAAGTCCAGACGGAAACAGGTATACCGGTGATAAAAACTAATCCGCATATTGTTAATTTAAATCCTAAAATGGAGACGTTTGCTATAATGAATTCCATGCCGTATAACACCAGGATTATACAACAAGACCCGGATACTATGAGTTTTCAGGCCGATGGCAGCGTTCTGGTTACCAGCATACACGGTATGCAACAAAAACCAACAAACTATGAGAATATTTATACTTGTACAAGCCAACCTGGTGTGTCCGGTATGCAAAACGACTTGGTAAAACAACAATTCACCAACATACCTATAACTTACCAGGATAATGGTATGTTAACAGATCATATTAAGCACGAAGGTGGTGGTGAGTATTTTATAGAAAATTATGTTGATAATAGGTTGTTTGCTTACCGGGCGTACCCCCAGAATGAAATACCCAACTCACAGACTTCTTTTGAAAGTACTGAACAAGTTGAAGCGATGGATCAAAGTGTTACGGACTCCATGAAGCAGGATATTGATGATGATACGACAAGCACTATGGATAACGAGCCTGATTTGCATGAAGAACCTTTAGATGATACTGAGGACGACCCTAAAATAGACACGACAACAGGTACGCCTCCGCCTGTAGATACACAAAACTCTGATGAGCCCCAAAAGTCTCCTAAACCGGTGAAGCCTGTGGACAAATTCCCTTGTCCCCAGTGCGACTTGGAGTTCACCTCCAACTTAAAACTATCCTACCACACCAAAAGTGTGCACGAGGAACGTAAATTCCAGTGCACAGTTTGTGAACGCAAATTCATGACTGCACATCACCTGAAAATGCACAGTGCTATGCATGTGGAAGTCAAACCCTTCCCCTGTGACGAGTGCACAGCAAGTTTCACCTACAAAAAGCTCCTAGAATCCCACAAACTGACCAAACACATTGTAAGTTCAGGAGACGCCCAGTTCCCCTTCGCTTGTTCAGTTTGTGAAATGAAATTCTCATCCCGCAACACCTACAACCACCATGCAAAGAGCCACCGGGGCAACAAAGGACCATTCCCCTGTGACGTCTGTGGTAAAGACCTGGCCACGAAAGAGAGCTTGAATTGTCACAAACTGATGCACACAGGAGAGAAGACTTTGTTGTGTGAGATATGCAATAAAGCCTTTAGTCACAGAAAGTATTATGCGGTTCATAAGAGAGTTCACACCGGTGAACGTCCTTACACTTGTACGACTTGTGGGAAGAGCTTCACGCAAGCTTCAACTTTAACTGTGCATAAAAGATATCACAGCGGGGAGAGACCTTATATTTGTTCCATTTGCGATAAGGGATTTGTTACGAGGACTATTATGGTAAATCATATGAAGAAACATTCTACGTAAGGTTTGTAATAGATTGTATAATTTCATGAATCAGGTCAGTATAAAAGTAGTCTTGTTTATAGTTTTAACAGTATTAAGATATATTTCAGAGAACTATTTATGTTTTAGAGGATTATTTATTATATTTATTTATTTATTCAATGAATTTTATATTGAACAGAGATGAGTTTTATAAAATTTTGGAAATCAGAAATTTACAATATTCTGCATAGAAAAAATATAATAAAAAGTTTATTTGTAAAGCTATTCAGTATTCTGAGGTTTTCTTTAAGGCAGTTTATTGAAAAATGAGAAAGCAATGTAAATGCTGAGCCAATCCTTATATTTTTTATATTCCTTGCCTAAAAATTTTATTTATCTTTTATATAATATAATTATATATATTTATATATATAAATATATATATATATATATATATATATCTATTACCTTTATTAATTATATTTATTATAGTTGAAGTTGGTAATCAATTTGCTCAAAAGTATTTTTAACTGGTTCAATTTACTGATAAATAATATCTACTGCTCGATGAAACCAATTATTATCTATTAGTTAAATTTATAAGTCAAAGTTATCTATTTGTTATTAATTTTTTAAACAAACAATACTTCGATGAGTTTATTTCAACTATTGCATTAATTGCATTATGCATTTATTATAATCTATGTTAAGACGTCATGTGTTATTTTGAACTTTAACAGTATTATCAATTAAAATATTTATATGTATTTATATATGTGTATATATATACATATATATATATATATATATATATATATATATGTATATCATTTGAGTTGAAAATTTGGACGTTACATCAATAAAAATAATATGAGAGTTTTTAGAAATTTATCAAATATTCATACGTTTCGGCTAGCATCTTATCCTTCATTCATTGGCAATCAATATAACGATAAAAATTAAAACTAAATAAATAATATGTAAGAAAAACAATAATAATAAAAATAAATAAATTTTCTAAACGAAAGAAAACTAAATTATGATTCTAAAAATGTTTTATTCAACTTTTATATGTTTCGAGGCTCAGTTTCAATGTAACAAATTAGTCAAGTACCAAATGATTAATTTTTTAGTGATTATTTTGCAAATTTTTATATTTAGTATATTTTTATATTTAGTAACTGCTAAAGAAGATTTATACTGGGATACAAAAGGTTTATTTTTTTTTTTTTTTAGAAACACACAATTTAGTTTTCTGTGTATTTTGTGGATAGATGTCTGTATGAAAAGCTTTCTTATTTTTCAAAAATCATTATATAATATATAATATGTTATATATACGTTTTAAAAATTATGATTTATTGTCGACGTTTGGGACTATGTTCGTTCCAGCCTCAGAAAATTAGCCAAAAACATTTTTAGTTAGAAGATAAATGAAAAAAAAAAAATAAAATAAATTAATTCAGTATATAAATGGATTAAACATCGTAAAGTACAACATTTACAAGGATTTATAGAGTTACTTACATATTCCGAATAGAGAAACAAATATTTAATAAATAATAATTAATATTTTTAACACAAGAAAGGAAAGACATTACATAGAAAATAAATTAAATTGCCGAGAATGAGATAAGACATTTTACTTGCATGACTTTATCGACATGCATTTTTTTTAAGATTTATTCAATTTATTATTTAATTAATTTTAATTCTAACTTATTTATCTTAACTAGATGTTACTAGAATATTATTGTTTAAATATTATTTATTTATTTACTATTTATATACTTTATTCATTATTTCATTTATATTATTTTTTCATTAAAACAAATGGTATGCTAGAAAAATCCAGTTAAAACTAGGTGTACGTGTAAGTGGCATTTTGCCTTATGGCAAGTTGCATAAAATTTCTCACACGTATAAACAATCAACATGATCATAAGAATTTCATTTTAGGATATTTATTAAAAAAATTTTTAAATGATTTATTGACGACAATTCATCCTCAGAATATCTATCAAGAACATATTTTTAGAAAGAAAACTTATTAACAAATATCAAAACAGATAAAAAATTAAAGTGTTTATTATAAACAAAATAATTTGTTTTAATATAAAACATGAGATTTAACGCATTTAATATAAAAATACAATTAGTATGAGAAAGAAAACCACTTAGTATGTATCACAAAACAATTTTATTTAAAAAAAAATGTAGTTTTAACTTTTGTTTTTTTAACTGGATTTCATTAGAATGAAGTTTGTTTAAACTACAAATTTTCTTTATATTTATTATTTACATATTTAACGTATAATTTTCTATTTATTTGAACAAGTAATATTTTAGTAACTCCAGGAATTTTTTTTTACATTCTGATATTTTTTTAAACAATTTATTCATGTTTTCGACAGATGTCTTGAAGATGGAACGTACATAGTTCCGAAACGTCGATAATAAATTATGTTCGTAACTTCCCGAAGAAAAAGTTTATTTTTGTCAAAGAATCCGACTTGCTACTTTTGTTCCCTCGATTTTTCAAGTTATTCTGAATCGTTTAACACCAAAAGTATGTGTGTTGAGTCAAATTTGACTTTTCGTCGTCGTTTTTTTAAAAACAGCCATTTCACGAAACTTGATAAAAACTTGTTAATATCAGTTGAGCCATTTCTTACAATCAGCAAATAAGTGCAAAACTTGACTCGGTCACTTGTTTGCTACAAACAGTTTTCGAAAATTTAGAATCTGTTCGAAAAAAATTATATAAAATGATTTTATATATATATATATATATATATATATATATATATGAATATTTATTACATCGACAGTAGAAATTGTCCCAGTCAATTAATATTGAGCAAATGATTATCAATTTCCTTATTAAACTTTGTTTCCAAGAAACCAAAAATCTTCCAAAATCTTAATTCTAAAATATCTTCGCACAATACTCGAAAAAGCAATGAGCTTCGTGTAGCTTATAATTAAATAGAAACATTATAAAAAATTTATTTAAAAATAATATTTTCTATTTCCTTAGATGTTTCCGAAAATTAATCTAGTCATTATTTTGCCAAAAAAGGGCAAAATATGGAAATCACACCAAAAACTATTTGTAAAATCAAAATTGTGTATAAACTTAATTTTTGAAAAGAATGATGTTACCTATTATATATACATATTTAGATATACATATAGATTAATATACATAGTCTATGTTGCTTTTATATGTGATCTTTTGTTTTAGTTTTTTCCTATGCGGTATTAGTGACCAATTTAAATAAAAATATTTGTATATGGTTCGGGACATTTTGGTAAAAAATGTTTTTGAATTGAAGTATACACTTGCCATAGTTAAGATAAATGTTTAGTACGCTGCTGACTCAAAGTAATAATGGACCTATTCTTGGATAACATAGCTATTTGCTGTTTTTGGTTCACCTATTTTATTTTGACAAATCATTTAATTTTTTTATACTGTCAATGACTGAAAGCTAACCTCCAAATAGCACAAATATCAAAATACCATTAGTTATAGATCAGGCGTATTTTATTTATAAGTGCAACGCGTCAGCTCCATGTTTCCATTTCCATACTACACAAAACAGGTCATTCCCAATAACATTTTGTGTCATATGTATCCGAGAATAGGTCCACAAGTAAAACAAATATAATTAGTTGTCTATGTTATACATCTAGTCATTATTTATTAATTAGTCGATAATCTGTATGATATTAAAAAAAAATTAAGACGTATGAATATTTTTGCGAAATAATGAAACGTTGTTATGAAATGGAAAGAAATCGTTCTGTGTCTCGAATTTTGGAAAGAAAATGTGATATTTAATATTTTTGAAAATGACTTCCTAGTAGAAATGATTACGTGATGATTAGTTAATGTTGTTATTCAAATTTTATTGTTTGTTATTTATTTATTCGAAAATTATTTATGGAGTTTGTTGATTTATAGTTTAGTTATTTATATATGAATTATTTGTGTTCAAAATTTTGGCCGATTTATAGGAATATTTTTCATTGAATTATTTATTTTATATATATAAATAAATATATATATATATATATATATATATATATATAAATAAATAAATATATATACGAGCAGGCCCGGCCACGCTTTGTTGTGGCTTTTATTGAAATCTATCTAATTGAAATTTGAATTTGACAAACAAACAGTTAAGTTTAAAATTTTCTTAATATTAATTTAATAAAAGAAAAATTGAATCTATACTAATGAGAATTTTGAATATATACTAGCATGCCCGGATAGATTTAATTTAATATCATTATGTTAAATTTAATAAAAAATAAACAAAATAATGAAATTAATTTTTGAATAAAAGACAATATTAAAAAAATAATCATAAACGATCACACTTTTATAATTTCCATTTCGAATAGTAATTAAAATTATTTATGATGAACAAAATACTGCTTTTTTTAACTACAAAGAAGATGAGTAAATATTTATTTAAATAAAAAGAACCTGAGTATATATTTAATAAAATTGCATTAACAAGATAATATTTGTTTATATGAAAAATACAGTTACAGAATTTTAAAATGCTGAAATTCTTAAAATGTTGTCTTATCCTAAACATAATATTTTAAATAATTTATTTTTTATCTATTTTTATTTATTTATTTATCTATATTTATTTATTTATTTATTTATTTATCTTTATTTATCTTATATTTTTTTATTTATTTATCTATTTTTTTAAATTAATTAATTCATTATTCATAAAATACAGTTGAAAATTTTAAAATGCTGAAATTCTTAAAATTTTGTCTTATCCTAAACATAATATTTAAAATAATATTTTATATAATTTAAAATGCATTTATTAATTTTTTAAATTTAGTAATTCATCAGGTAATTAAAAAACGTGTTTAAAATATAAATTAATGTATTCAAAATTGGCCAAAATTTTATTTATATCTTCAAATTATTTATTTATAATTATTGCTACTTTCTAGATGAGTTTATTTCGTAAAAGTTAATTTATTTTCTTGTTATC